CTACTCCTTGGAGGCAAGGATTCTGGGGCTTTGTCTGACATACTTTGGACATGTTGCCAGGAGGGACGGGTCCTTGGAGAGGGACATCATGCTTGGGAGAGTTGAGGGACAACGCAGGAGGGGAAGACCCTCTATGAGTTGGATTGACTGGGTGACTGGGGTAATCGGCATGGGTGTGTCAGAGGCGGTGTGGTTGGTGCAGGATAGAGCAGGGTTAGGGCTGTTTGCATAGGGTCGCTATGAGTCGCAAACGACTCGACGGCACATAACAACAACAACAATATTTCTTCCTTAAGAATATCCAACTTTCCCACATTCATAGTTCTCACATTCCATGTTCCAACCACTAGTATCTATTTACACCTGTTCCTCCTCCTTACTATTTCCATACTTGAAAGTTCCACATCTATTGTTCCACATCCATATCTGCTAGTCTAAGTGTGTTCTGTTGTACATAGGGTTTTTGAAGGCCTGCAATTTTGGAAGTGGATGGCCAACCCTTCTTCCTAGTCTGTCTTAATATGAATGCTCAGATTTAGAAAAGTATCTGATAGACAAGCATTTTACAGAACAATGCAGATGAACTATCTTTCCCAATTGTAGAAATAGGCAGTAGTTTTCATTTTGTCCCTGACCTTGACACGAGTCTCTTGACCCACCACTTTCCCTGCCTCACCAGTATTCCCTTCTATTCCCACGTACCCTCTTCAACACCTATTGCCTGCTATACACCCCTTAATCTGACAATTTCTTTCTCAAGCATTGTGGGTTTCTGTGATTCCAAATTCATCAAGATGTTGCTGATTTCTTATGCTGTGATCAGTTTCCCTTGAGTGTAGGGGCCTGTAAGTCCAAGTATAAAGCTCTAATATTAGGGAAACCTTCTTATTTCAGATGGTTCTGAAGAAAAGTCCTTTCCCTTTAATTCCTGCTCCAGGTTTAACTTCTTGTGGCTTGGGCATCTTCCCTTTCATTTACAGCACACTGTGGTCACAATATTTCTGTCCAGTAGATCTGAGATCCCTAATTCCCACTCCTCTTCCTGGCCCCCTTGAACTTCTCTCTCACACTGAGTCCCCAAGGACTTCCAGCAGGCACTTTGTTCTTTGCGTGCGCACTTCTGGGACAGACTACCTGTTTGGGTGATGGGAGAGAAAACTGGGATCCCCAATTACTTTTGAAATATCATATCCTAAATATTTTCAGCTATATGCTGAATGTCATGTCAATTTTTCTCATAACTTATGCTCCAACAACAAAATATATTTAAGATATTAATGAAGTGAAATATAAGTATATTATATTTCTGTTTTTATACAGAGTTGTTTTTACTTCCTTTTTAAAACTCAATTGCTATCTTCTAATGTTTTTTTTCTGTTTTGACAAAGTCCTTGGTCTATGGCAAGAAATTTGAAACTCACTGGAAGAGATCCATAATACCCTTTCCTCATAAAATAAAGATTATCCAAAACACATAGAAATTATCCAACAATATCATTGATACCATATGCAAGTAAAATCTTCCTGGAGATTATTTTAAAATGACCCTAACATACACTGACAGGAAATTTTCAAAAATTCAAGCTGGATTTAGAAAATGCCATGACATAAAGGATGCCATTACTGATGTCAAATGGATCTTAGCAAAGCTCTGTTTTATTGTTTGTACACTTGTGTTTTATTGATTATTCAAAGATATTTCTCTGTGTGAGTTATAACAAATTATGTATAATATTCAGAAGAAAGGGAATCTCAGAAGACCTATATAGACAAAGAAGCAGTTGTCTGAATAAAACAGTAATCTGCACTTAAAATCAGGAAAGTCAGAATTGCATCCTTTCTCTATACCTATTAAATTCTTCATATATAGTATATTTTAACATCAAGACCAGAAAACAAAATATCATCAACACTGAGCCAATAAACAACATCCTGATAGAAAGAGAAATTGAAGTTAATAATTAGTTTATCTTATTTGGATCTACAATCAAGATCCTTGGGATCGTAGTCAAGATATCAAAAGCTATGTTGCATTGAGAAAAATCTTCTGTTAAGGACATCTCCAATATACTGAGGAGCAGGGTTGTCAGTTTAAATAATAAGATAAACTTAACTCAATCAGTGTTTTTTCAATTACTTGTTGTGCATCTGAAAGTTGTACAATAATCAAGAACGCCAGAAGAATTGATGTCTTTGCATTTTGGTGTTGGAGAAGAGTAGTGACTATCCCATGGAATAACAAAAGACCACACACACAGCTAGTTTGTTCCTTTGAGGCAAGGATGATGAAATCTCATCTCACATATTTTGGAGATGTTAGAAAATTCAGTCCTTGGAAAGGCTGTCATGATTCAAAAGGTGGTGGATCAACAAAAGAGAAGAACTTCAACAACATGAATTGAATCCATTACTACAAAAACATGCTTGATTATGTCAGGGCTGGAGATGATAGTGCACGAAAGGGCAGTGTTCAGATGCATTATTTATAGGATTGCTGTGAGTCCTAGTTGACTCTAAGACATGTACCAACAACAATGTAGGCTGTGTTGGTTTTTTTTTCATAGGGAATTGCACTGCTAATCCAAAAACATCTCTAATGGTTTCGATACACCAGCCACTCACTCCTCAGGAGAAATATGGAAATTTTTCCCTTGGGATCTAGCTCCTGAAAATGTGCTGGAAGGTCAATTTTGAGTTGGTTCTGATTCCACAGCTATGATTTTGAGTAATAAGGTTTTCCCTCTTAGTGAAATGAGTTTCATTTCTTTTGTCTCTTAACCCTTGTAGATGATTTATTTGGCTCGAAATGCCAAGGATGTTGCAGTCTCGTATTACAATTTTAGCTTAATGAATAGTTTAAACCCACTTCCTGGCACCTGGGGAGAATTTCTGGAGAAATTTATCACTGGTGAAGGTAGGTATATTTTAATGTGAAATTGGTAAGTAATTTTTTTTTCTTTTTTTAAAAGGAAGTTTCACTACAACTTAGAAACAGGCAATTCAAATCCACCAGAAGCTAGTGAGGGAGAAAGATGGGCAATATCCTCCAATAACAATTTCAGCCTTTTAAAACCCTCTGAAGGGTCGGTTATGACTTGTTTCCAATCTGATTGCACATAACAAACAACAATAAAAACAACTGTTAATTGTTATTTAACTGTTAATATTTCAAGCCAATGACAAATGCATTAAAAAATTAGAATAAAAATTCACTATATTGTACTAAGAGGTGTAATTGATAAATAAGGTTTTAATTCTTTAGCTAATAAAAATATTCTGAATTCTGCATCATTTGCTAAAAAAATCTATTTTGAGTTAAATATCATCCTCATAATACATATTACTTAAGTACAGTATCAAATATATCCAATAATGGGTCCTAGTTGGTTAAATCTGTTATTCCCAGACTATGGAAATTTGGTAAGAGAATAATTATGCCCTTTTGCATGGATGTTAAGTGTCATCAATTAAAGGTCAATATTTTTTATGAAATACTTCTTTATTTATATTTAATTTTTAAAAATTACTCATGTTCTCTGTTTTTTGAATATTTAATTCTATAATATGTCTGTAAAGTCTGACTTATTATTTAGAAATAACTCCTTAACTTAATGAATGTTTATGAAAATAGATGATTTTTCTATTCCCAGTTGCCTATGGTTCCTGGTTTAAGCATGTTAAGAGCTGGTGGGAGAAAAAAAAGGAATATCCAGTTCTTTACATATTCTATGAAGACTTAAAAGAGGTAAAATGGTAGAAGTATATTTCTAGATCATTTCCAAACATTATATTATGGTAATTTTTTAATATTTTGTTTAAATTTAGTCTAGTGGACTCCAAAATAATATTAATAGTTTGTACAGCCTTCATGACTTCTAACTTAATCTCGTTAAGGTGATTAGTAACTTCCTAACAGTGAAACCACCTCTCACATATCTAGAAGTAGATCCAGAAAACACCTTGTAAGTTACATAAACCTGCACAAATTTTTAATGAATGAAGCAAAAGAGAAGTACAATGAAAGGAAATTCAACAGCAGACTTTCTGTGTATTTCATATAGAACAATTACGATTTCTTTTGATCGTGGTACCAGTAGTCAGGACATTAGGAGATGTATTGCACCAAGAAAGTCTGAAGTTGGGACCTCTCCAAATTATTAAGGAGTGATGAGGTCTGTTTGAGGACTTAGAGGTGTCTTATTCAGGTCATCCTCATTCCAGTCATTTGCTGTGTTTCTGAGAGCGGGACAATGAATGACAAAAGAATTGATGGTTTTGAGCTGTGGTATTAGAGAAAAGTACTGAATATTCCATGGACTGCCAAAAGAACAAACAAACTTGAGAAGGTGCAGCCAGAGTGCTCCTTGGAGGAAAAGATGACAAAGCTTCATCTCACTTAGTTCATATTGCTGCAAGAGGCTATTCATTGAAGAGGAACATCAGGTTTGGGAAGGTGGAGAGAAGGCAAAAAAAAGAGGAAGACCCTCAAACAGGTGGATTGACACAGTTACTGTTGCAATGGTCTCAAATGTTTCAGGAGTGTGAGGACGGCACAGGATAGAATAGCACTCATATTTGTTGTTTATAGGGTTGCTATGGGTTGTATTTGATTTGATAGTACATAACAACAACAGAAACTAGGTATCTTTCCATTTTTACAATAATGGCCTTAAGCAGTATTTCTACTTATGAGTCTGAGTTAATTCACTCAGTATAATGCTCTCTAGCCTCTCTCATGTTACTCAGTCTTTCTTTAAGTCACTGCTCCTGAGTGCTGCATAGCATTTCATCATGTGAATGTATCATAATTTCTCAATCCATTTTTTATTGATGGACATTTGGGCTGTTTCCTTTTTCTTGATATTGTGAATAATGCTGATATGAACTTCGATGTACAAATCTCCCTTTGTGTCTCAGTTCTATTTTCCTTAGGGTATATTCCTAGCAGAAGATCAAGGAATGCAGCCTTCAGTATGGATTATATCTTAATGTGAAAAAGACAAAGATTCTTACCACTGGACTTATGGGCAATGCCATGATGGATGGAGAAGAGACTGAAACTGTCAACAACTTCATCTTACTTGGATCCATAATTAACACCCCTAGTACTAGCAATCAGGAAAAAAGGAGACACACTGTACTGGGAAAATCTGCAGTTAGGGAATCTCTCCAAATTATTAAAGAGTAATGAGGTCAGTTTGAAGACTGTGGTGCATTTGATTCAGGCCATGGTTTTTCCAATAATTTGCTATGCATCTGAGAACTGGACAATGAATAAGGATGACAGAAGAAGAACTGATGTCTTTCAGCTGTGGTGTTGGAGAAGAGCACTGAACATCCCATGGACAGCCAAAAGAACAAATAAATGTCTTGTAGAGGGTGCAGCCAGAGTATTCCTTGGCGACAAGAATTATGAGGCTTCACCTCACACGCTTCAGTCATGTTTCTAGGAGGGGCTATTCCTTAGAAAGTGGCATGATGCTGGGAAGGGTGGATGGTCAGTGAAAGAAAGGAAGATCCTCAACCAGGAGGTTTGACACAGTGACTGCCACAATGGGCTCTAGTGTGCAGGAAGTGTGAAGATGGCACAGGATAGGACAGAGTTCATATGTTTTTGTTCTTAGGCTCGCTATGAATAGTACTTGACTACATAACACCTAACAACAACAACAACATGTATTTCTAGCAGAAGAATAGCTGGGTCATCTACTCTATATTGCCAAGAATTTCAGTTGCTCTTTTCTCTACTGGTTATTCACTCTAACAAACTACAACAAACTTTTTAACTCTGGTACCACATCCACAAAGATATTACCATACATAGGTATGTAGATTTAGTAACTACCTGAAGTTCAAATGTTATATTTGTGTCCTCTGAATGTAAAAAAAAACCCCAAACAAACCACAGAACTATTCTTTTTTATAAACAATTTAAGCACTATTATTCTTGAATATTTTAAAGTAATTTTTAAAATTTCTCTAAAAATTATGAGTGTACTGAATCAAGGGCAGAATCCTGTAATATTCTGATTAAAATTTAAGACAATAGAATATAAACATATGATATTTTTTACATTACATTAAGTATTTACTTGATTACTATTTTCTTTGATTTTCTCTTTATCTATTGATAGAATCCAAAGCAGGAAATCAAGAAGATAATTCAATTTCTCGGGAAGACATTAAATGATGAAATTTTGCAAAAGATTATTCATCACACCTCATTTGAAGTAATGAAGGACAACCCAATGGTAAACTATACGCACCTTCCCTGTGTTCTGATGGATCATAGCCAATCTGCCTTTATGCGGAAAGGTAGACTTTTTTTTAATATCATTACTTATGTCATTATAAATTCCACTAGATAGTGCTTAGCTGTGTAATCTCTAGCAAGGTATTTAATCTGTCTGGACATCAATTTCTTTCTCTCAAAAAGGACACTAAAATCTCTACTACAAATGTGCTAAATTATCTTGTAAATTATTCAATGAAATGTTACATGTGAAGCTGTTAGCATATAATTTAAATATTTGGCAAGTATTTACATTTTTTAAATTATTATGTTGAGTAAAAGTGAGGTAAACCTGGTGGCTTAGTGGTAAGCAGTTGTGCTGCCAATCCAGAGGCACAGGGTTCATATCTATAAGGTGTTTTGTATGAAAAGTAATTTACTGCCTCTGAAAATCTACTGGAGAATTAGATCTAAGTTGAGTGTAACTTAATGATACATAATACCAATAACTGAATGTAATTTTGGCAAATTAATGTAAATTCTTTCAAAGTTTCATTCCTACTAATTAATCTTACATTCCTACTAATTAATATTACAATGAAATGTGCAAGGAGTTGGAGTCAGAAAATCAAAAGGGCCGAACTCGCTCAGCATATCTTAAGCTCAAGGAACTGAAGAACAA